ATATTTGATAATTGGATAATATTGATATCTGATAATTGGATAATGGTGATATTTGATTATTGGATAATGCTGGTATTTGATAACTGGATAATATCGATATTTGATTATTGGATAATTGTAATATTTGATAACTGGATAATGCTGATATTTGATAATTGGAAAATGCTGATAATTTGATAATTGGATAATACTGATATTTGATAATTTGATAATACTGATATTTGATAATTGGATAATGCTGATATGTGATAACTGGACAATATTGATATTTAATAATTGAATTATATTAGTATTTGATAATGCTGATATTTGATAACTGGATAATATTGATATTTGATAATTGTGTAATGCTGATATTTGATAATTTGCCCACCAGTCCTGACTCCTGGGACAGGACAGGAGGTTCCTGGCCTGGCATCCTGCACATTTGTCACTCCCCTGTCACCTCCTTCAGCAGCTCCAGCCCAAAGCTCCTCCACGTTCCCAAATCCCAGGTGGCTCCCAGCTGGCCTTGGACACTTCCAGGGATCCAGGGGCAGCCACAGCTGCTCTGGGAATCTCCAAAATCCTGAAATTGGGGCTGGGAACTGCGGCTGGAGTCGTTCCCAGCCTGTGATGCCTTTCCCAGATGTGCACCCGGATAAAAACATTCCAACCCCTTTTCCCAGGGGCTGGGATCCCCCTCTGTGGGAAAACTGAGCTCAAATTCCCCCAAAACCTGGGAAAACAAAGAGGTGTCAACTCTCTGAGGGAGGAAAATCAACATGCAGGAGGGAAGGAGCAAAGGATCAGCAATTCCAGCTTGTTCCATGTGTTTGGAGACTGAGGATAAAGCCTGAGGCTTTCCCACCCTCAAAAAAAAAAGTTTAAACCAATTAAAAATCAGTTTTAAGTTTCAGGTTTCAGTTCTAAGTTGAAAAAACCAGTTTTAAAAATCAGTTTTCTGCTGGTGAGCTCAAGTGCAGGAGGAAGGAAAAGGTTTCTTACAAACCACGGATGTTTCGCTGCTGCCCAAAATCCCTTCTCAGTTTGCTGGGTTTTCCCTGAAATCTTGGGGTTTTCACCCAAATCCTTCATCAGTGATTTCACTTCCAAGAGCTGCAATTTCCTGGGCTTTTCCCAGTTTTTCTATGGGTTCAGCAGCTCTTCCAGGCAGTGTTTCCTATTTCCCCCAAAAAGGTTCAGCTGAGCCATCCCAAAATGAGCATTTTCTGCTTTGACAGCTCTGAACTTCTCAGAATTCTGACAAACCACCCAAACCCTGAGCTCAGAGAACACGTGGCCCTGCCTTGCTGGGAAACAAGCCCCAAAACAATCCCAAATCCAGGGGGTTGGGGTTTTTATGGACGGGGATGTTTTGTCTGGAGGTTTTTACGGATGGGGATGTTTTGTGTGGATTTATGAGGATTTTCTCCTTGGTTTGGGATGCAGACAAGGCAAACCCTGCCAAGCTCAGCCCTGCAGGTGGAATGGGATCTCTGGGGGTGTTTCTCAGGATGATCCTGGTGTTTATTGGGATGTCCTGCTGTTTCTGCAGCATTCCCAGGGAAAGGTCGGGTGACTCAGGCTGGAAAAGGCGGCACCGAGCAAACCCCGGCGATCCCTTTGTGCTGCCCACATCTCCCTAAAACACCCCCCTACAAACCCAAGGGCTTTTCTCAGCTCCTGCAGCAGCAGAAAAGGGATTTTTTGGGGTTGGAAAACCCGTGAGGGGGCTGTGGGGTGAAGGTTTCTGGGCGTGCAGGTGCAGTGTGGGAGGGCAGGAAGGACAAACCCCAAACTGAGTCAGCAGCGCTCGGCTCCTTCCTTATCTCACATCTGAGCAGAAAGGGCAAAGCAGCAGCTGAGCTGAGCTGGAAAAGGACTCCAGAACTGCTGGGAACTGCAGGGAGGGCTTGGATTTGGCATTTTCCTGCTGCCAGAGAGAGCAGACGAGGGGAATTCGGGATGCAGCTGCAATCAAAGGCGGTGCCGTGAGCGTGGATGGAAATGGGGGCTGCAGCTCGGGCCAAAAACAGAATTTCCAGAAGGAAAACAAGGAATTACAGCCCCCACGGTGGGAAGGGAGGGTCCTACCCAGGAAAAGATGGAATCACAGCCCCCATGGTGGGAAAGGAGGGTCCCACCTGCTCAAAGTCTTCTTCCTGGCTTTCCCTGGGGGAACTGCTCCTCTTCTTCATATTCCCTTCCAAAAATGAGGCAAACACCTCTCCCCTTTCTCATTCCCTTCCAAAAATGGGGCAAACACCTATCCCTCTCCTCATTCCCTCCCAAAAATTGGGCAAGCACCTCTCCCCTTTTTCATTCCCTCCCAAAAATGGGGCAAACACCTATCCTTCTCCTCATTCCCTCCCAAAAATGGGGCAAACACCTCTCCCCTTTCTCATTCCCTTCCAAAAATGGGGCAAACACCTATCCCTCTCCTCATTCCCTCCCAAAAATTGGGCAAGCACCTCTCCCCTTTTTCATTCCCTCCCAAAAATGGGGCAAGCACCTCTCCCTCTCCTCATTCCCCCCTAAAACAAGGGTGAACATCCCAACCTTTCCTTTCCCTTTAATCCTTGAAGGATTAACTGTGCTCCCAAATAAACAACACTCAGGAAAACAGGAGGGATGATGCAATTTAAAAAAGAAAAACAACACAACAGATTATTTTTTTTGCCTTTGTTTAGGCAAGGACTAGAAGAGCAGAGCTGGTACCGACAGAAACAAAGAAACCAGAGCAAACTCCTCACCCCAGCCAGCACCACCCTGTGCAGGGATTTCTGAACCACCCTTCCAAGTGAATTCCCAGAAAAGCACGTGGATTCGGGAGCAGGAGCCTTTCCAATGTTTTCCTGGCAGGGCTAAGGGCCAATTCCCAACTCCTGGAGAAGCTCAGGAGCTGCCACTCAGCCCTGAGCTCTGAGGGAGCTGCAGCAGCTCCAGGATGGGACAGGGGAGACTTTAAGGAGAGATTTTACAGAGAGATTTTAGCCACAGATTTTAGGGATGGATTTTAGGGACAGAACCAGGCTGGAAGGAGAATTCCTGGGAAATTCAGGATGATGATGGAACAGCCAGAGCAGCACAAACAACTCTGCAGTCACGGGGTTTGAAAGGCTCTTTGAATTTCTGTGTGCAAAAAGGACAGAGTGCAAATGCCACAGACTGCTCCAAAGCCTCTGGATCATCCCTGATGATCCATCCCCACCTCCTCCAGCCCCAGGAATGAGTCAGGCAGGCCCTGAGAGGGCAACACCTCCGTGCAAGGCTGGGTCACTGCACCCTCCAGCACTTCCCTTCCCCACTCAGATGGGATTTCTGCAGCTCAGAGAGCAAAAAATGCCACGAATTCTGTGCAATCTTGATAGAAAATAGATGTAAAATAGATTTAACAGCAGCCAGCAGCAGCAGTGAGTGGCACAGGAGCCTAAAAGTTTTTTATCTGCCCAATTTTCTCTCCTCCCTGCACATCTGGGCAGTTGTTGAGGTCAAAACTCAGGCTGTGCTGATCAGGGGAAGAAGAAAAGAATTAGAAAAAAAATCCCACCTCCAGCTGGAAGGCACCCAAAATCCTGGCTGCAGTTTGGGTCTGAAACAGCACCTTATTTAGACAATCTGAAGAATGTTTGGGAGGCTGCTCCGGCTGGGAATTTGCATAATGGGTGTCTGTCCGTGCTTACCTAAGAGCACAGGAATCCCGTCTGTCAGTCAGTCTAGACTGTGGGGTTGGATCCAGGGAATCTCCCAGCCAGGAATAACACGGCGAGCAGGGCAGGGTGCTGCCATCTGCTGATGGCACCCAGGAGTTCGGCAGCAGTTTTGATTTTTGGGGGGTTTTTTTGGGTTGGGGTTGTGGTGAAGAGTTTGGTTCAGGGTGAAGAGTGGGGGAAAATCCATCCTCATCCTCATCCTCATCCCCCTGGGAAAGCCCCAGTGCTCCTAGTGGATCTGCAGAGCCTCAGCCCGCTCTGCTGGTGGCTCCAGTTTTAATTAAAGCATTGGGAGCGCTTTGATTAAGGAATCTCCATGTAAATAATGATATTAAATCCAAATAATAAATAAATAATAATTTGAGAATTAATAATAAAAGCAAAGCCCCAGAACCGCGGCCCAAGCGCGCCCTCTGCCGCCCGCAGAGGGGAACTGCAGGCAAGGAAATCCTGGAAGATTTTTCCTCCCCAAAAAATGGGATTTTAAGGGATTTTTCAACCAAAATGCACAAAATCAGCCCATTTCCATTTCGCAAAGCCTGGCTGAGACATACGGGGAAACGCAGAGCTCTGGAGCCACCTGGATTTCAGCTCTTCGGGTGACCCAGGAGCAGCAACTGCTCCTCATCCTCATCATCATCATCATCATCATCATCATCATCATCATCATCATCATCATCATCATCATCATCATCATCATCATCATCATCATCATCATCATCATCATCATCATCATCATCATCATCATCATCATCATCATCATCATCATCATCACCCCAATGTCCTCCTGTCCCAAAGCCCCTGTGGGGAGCTCAAAGCCCTCCCAAATCCAGGGAGGGCTCAGCCTCCTGCCCCTTGAATTCCCGAGGTTATTCCAACAGGATCCAGCGCTGTTGGAAACCCTGAGGATGATCCAGCCCTGGGACAACACAGCCACAATTCCCAGCTCTGGGTTTGTCACCTCCAAACAACCCCAAAAAACATCAAACGAGGCCAAAAAAACCCCCAAAAAACCCCAAAAACCCTCAAGTAAGCCCTTCACGGAGCTTCCCATGGAACAGCAGCTCCCACACGACTCCAGGTCCCCTCTGGAATGCAGAGATCTCCCTCCCTAATTAATTAACGCGGTAATTGCTGGCACATAACGAGGCCCCATAAGCAGCAGCACTCACAGTCAGCACTTCAGAATCCAAATCCACCTCCAAACCCATTCCAAACCCCTCATCCAGATCGTTTTCCAGATCAAATGAAGCAATTAAGGGCAAATTAATCAATAAAGAGACAAATCATGAGGTCTCTGCTCACCTTCCTACTGCAGAGCAGCCTCGTTCTCCGTGTGGATTCCTTGATTTTTCTGGATTCCTCCTGCCAAGAAAAATGGGAATTCAGATCCATGAGCACGAGCAGATGGAGCTGTGTTATTAATGGAGTTATAATTTGGGATATTTGCTCCATCATGGCATTAATCAGCGTTGGTGAGGGACATCCCTGGTTTGATCAACATCCAATTATTCACTGGAAAATCAGGGCTGACATTTATTGATCAATAATCAGAATAATGACAGGGAAGCTGTGGAATTCTCCTCTGTTTTTATAAATCACAGCCACGGCCTGGGTGAGGGCTCAGGGAAATATTTGGGTCTAAATTGCATTTTTTATGGGGGGAAAGCAGAGAGGGAAAGGGGTTTGTATCATTTTGGGGAGGGAAAATGAAGAAGAGAAGTTTGCACCATTTTTGAGGGGAGTGAGGAGTTGGAAAGGTTGGAAAGGTTGGAAAGGCTTGCCTGCCTCATTTTTTTGGAGGGAATGTTAAGAATAGGAAGTGTTTCCCCATTTTAGGGGGCAATGAGGAGAGGGAGAAGTGTTTGCACCTTTTTTTGGGGGGGAAAGAGGAGGAATTGCCCCCATTTTAAAGGAGAATAGGAAGAAGAGGAATTTGCATCATTTTTTTTGGGGGGGGGGAAATGTGAAAAAGAGGAGGAATTTCCCCCATTTTAGAGGAGAATATGAAGGAGAGGAGGAGTTTGCCCCATTTTTGAGAGGGGAGGAGGAATTTCCCCCATTTCAGATGAGAATATGAAGAAGAGGAATTTACATCATTTTTTTTGGGGAGGGGGGGAGGAAATATGAAAAAAGAAGCAGCATTTCCATCACTCCAGGGACAGTCAGAGAGCATTTCAGCACAGAAAACCTCAGCCTGAGCACATCCTGGCAGGTTGAATTTCCAAGAAAACCTCAGTCCCAGGCTGCAGGAACGAGCTGCCCTTGGGAGAGCTCCCAAAACCCCCCCGAGAACCCCTCGTGCCTCACGTCCCCTTCCCAGTAAAACATTGCTCAACCCAGCTGAAGTCAGAGCAGGAGCCAGCGAGGGATGAATTCCAAGAATCCATCAGAGCTGAAATCCAGCCCTGCTTGTTTTCCCTGCTCGCTGGCTGAACACAAACAGGTTTGGGTTTGTTTTTTTGGGGTTTTTTTTTTTTTCTTGTTTTGTTTTGGTTTTTCTAAAGGAGTCAAACCCACGTCAGTGATTCTGGGCTGGGGTTCAGGCCAGGGCTCCTTTCACCTCCTCCTTCTGCAGATTGCAGTGGATTCAGGGATGAGGAACGGCCAAAAAAAGCAGTTTAAAGTTGTTTTGTTTGTTGTTTTTTTGTTGGTTTTTTTTTTTTTAAACACGGATTTTTACAGATTTCACATTCCAGGGCCAGATCTCTGTGGAAATAGGAAGGTGAGGGCAGGCAAAAAAAAAAGGCTGAATTTGGGGCAGGTCAGGAGGGCAAAAAGGAGTCAGGGATAAAGGCACAAACAGCTCCAGGCTCAGAACTGGCCTTGGAATGGGCAATCCCTGAGGATCACAGAATTGGGTTTGTTTTTTTGGTTTTTTTTTTTTTTCTTGTTTTGTTTTGGTTTTTCTAAAGGAGTCAAACCCACATCAGTGATTCTGGGCTGGGGTTCAGGCCAGGGCTCCTTTCACCTCCTCCTTCTGCAGATTGCAGTGGATTCAGGGATGAGGAACGGCCAAAAAAAGCAGTTTAAAGTTGTTTTGTTTGTTGTTTTTTTGTTGGTTTTTTTTTTTTTAAACACGGATTTTTACAGATTTCACATTCCAGGGCCAGATCTCTGTGGAAATAGGAAGGTGAGGGCAGGCAAAAAAAAAAGGCTGAATTTGGGGCAGGTCAGGAGGGCAAAAAGGAGTCAGGGATAAAGGCACAAACAGCTCCAGGCTCAGAACTGGCCTTGGAATGGGCAATCCCTGAGGATCACAGAATTCTGGAATGGTTTGGGCTGGAAGCAGCTCAAATCCCAGCCAGTTCCACCCTTCCCACTGCCCCAGGTTGCTCCAAGCCTCTGGAATTGGGCACTTCCAGCCATTCCCACTGCTCCAGGGAGGTTTTCCACAGCACCATCCAAGAATCCCTGGATTCTGGGGATGGGGGGGTGGAAAAAAGCACCTGGATCATCAGGATCTCCTGCTGGAGCAGTCCTGACTCCCTCCAGAATCCTGCAATCGACCCAAAAGGACAGAAATTCCAGGGAATTCATCAGCCCAGTGCAGCTGACAAACAAACAGGGCCACGAGCAGGATGTGGGGCTGACAAAATGCAGCAGCACCCGGGAGGTTCCATGGGCAGGGAATGCCACCAGGAATTTTGGGAAAAGAGCCAACCTTCAGCTGCCATCCTGACTTCACAGGGATTTTCCAAGCCAAACCATTCCATGGAGGTGAAGCTGCTGCTGCTGGAATCAGCTCCACACAAACCACCCCAAACCCAAGCACCCCCAAACCCATTCCAAACCCATTCCAAACCACCCCAAACCCAAGCACCTCCAAACCCATTCCAAACTGATTCCAAACCAGCCCAAACCCATTCCAAACCCCCCCAAACCCATTCCAAACCCATTTCAAATCACCCCAAACCCATTCCAAACCACCCCAAACCCATTCCAAACCCCTCTGCCAGGCTGTTTTCCCAGGTAAAATAAACAAATTAATGGCATATTAATCAATAATGAGAATTCCCTTCAGACCCAGGCAGCTGGAGCTGAGCTGAAAGCCTGCAGTGACAGCACAACCTGTGCCTTATTTCTGTTGGTTTTCCCTGGAATTTTTGGCTGCTTTGGGTTTCTCCTTTTGTGTTTTCCTTCCCAAAGCAACACAGGGGCTCCAGCACTAAAAATGGTTAAATTTCAGGTTTCCAGCTGCTCTCAGAGCCCTGCAGAGACCCCACGGGGACCTGGCAGCAGCTACACCACAAGCAGAGGGAAAAACAACCCCGGAGCTTTCCAGAGGGACAGGATCCCATCTCTGGCTGTCCCGTTGTTTACAGGATCCCTGCTCTGGGAGGGAGAACAAGGCTGACCTCAGCTGGAATAAACTCTGCCCCCTCCTTCCTGCCAGCCCTGTCCTGGTGCAAAGGTTTGGAACTGGATATTCCACAGGCTCCTGTTTACAGGCACGGAGCTCTGCTGCCAGCCCAGCTGGGGACACGCACTGGGGACACGGGGACACGCACTGGGGACACGCACTGGGGACACGGAGACACGCACTGGGGACACGAACTGGGGACATGCACTGGGGACACGCCCTGGGGACACAAACTGGGGACACAGGGACACGCACTGGGGACATGGGGACACGCACTGGGGACACAAACTGGGGACACAGGGACACGCACTGGGGACATGCACTGGGGACACGGGGACACACCCTGGGGACACAAACTGGGGACACGAACTGGGGACACAGGGACACACCCTGGGGACACGCACTGGGGACATGCCCTGGGGACACAGGGACACGCTCTGGGGACATGGGGACACCCCAGGGACACCGAGGCTTCCCTGTGCCCCAGACGTGGCCATTTCCTCCGGGAAACACTCCCTGGGTCTGGGCCTGGAGGGCTTGGGAAGGCTCTGCCCCCTCCCCACAACTGGCAATTCCTGCTGGGAATGTCACACTGACAGCCGGGGCAAAATCCTGCTTGTATCCAGGTTTTCCTGGTCCTATCCAGGTTTTCCTGCTTGTATCCAGGTTTTCCTGGTCCTATCCAGGTTTTCCTGGTCCTATCCAGGTTTTCCTGCTTGTATCCAGGTTTTCCTGGTCCTATCCAGGTTTCCCTGTCTCTCTCCAGGTTTCTCTGCCTCTCTCCAGGTTTCCCTGGTTCTATCCAGGTTTCCCTGCCTGTATCCAGGTTTCCCTGTCTCTCTCCAGGTTTCCCTGGCTCTCTCCAGGTTTCCCTGTCTCTCTCCAGGTTTCCCTGGCTCTCTCCAGGTTTCCCTTGCTCTGTCCAGGTTTCTCTGCCTCTCTCCAGTTTTCCCTGCCTCTCTCCAGGTTTCCCTGTCTGTATCCAGTTTTCCCTGCCTCTCTCCAGGTTTCCCTGCCTGTACCCAGGTTTTCCTGGCTCTATCCAGGTTTTCCTGGCCTGCCTTCCTTCCTTCCCTGACCCTGCCAAGGCAGAACCGTCCCTTTCAGAGAAGCCTCTGAGCGGGTGTGGGCAGCAGGAAGGGGAATTCCTTCCCCAGGTCCCTGGAAGCATCCAACAATGGCACCAGGGCAACCACCCCAAAACATCCAGGGCAGAGCTTCAGACGTGAACTTTTCCCTGGCAGCTCCTCCAGGGGATGAGCAGATCCTTCTTTCCCTGTGCCCTTTTCCAGATGGGTTTTTTGCACCAACAGTTGGGAATGTGAAGCATCCTGGAGAGCCAGAGCCAGGAAGGAAACCGGATCCTGCAGCCCACCCAGCCAGAATTCCCCCCTGGAGCCAGGAATGCTGGGGGAAGGAGCAGGAGCCTTTCCAGGAGGAGCTCCCAGCTCAGCAGCAGGAATTCTGTGCTGTTGGAATTCTGTGCTGCTGGAATTCTGTGCCCCTGGAATTCTGTGCTGCAGGAGTTCTGTGCTGTTGGAATTCTGTGCTGCAGGAATTCTGTGCCCCTGGAATTCTGTGCTGCAGGAGTTCTGTGCTGCAGGAGTTCTCTGCTGCTGGAATTCTGTGCCCCTGGAATTCTGTGCTGCTGGAGTTCTGTTCTGTAGGAATTCTGTGCCCCTGGAATTCTGTGCTGCAGGAGTTCTCTGCTGCTGGAATTCTGTGTCCCTGGAATTCTGTGCCCCTGGAGTTCTGTGCCCCTGGAATTCCGTGCTGCTGGAATTCTGTTCTGTAGGAATTCTGTGTCCCTGGAATTCTGTGCCCCTGGAATTCCATGCTGCAGGAATTCTCCAGCCCCTGGAATTCTGTTCTGTAGGAATTCCATGCTGCTGGAATTCTCCAGCCCTTTCCCAGCCCCCTCCCTGGCCTGGCTCCAGCCCCTGGGTGTCTCTCTGGATGCTCAGCTCACTCCCAGGACTAAATCCCCTCCTTGGAGCAGCACCACAGCTTCAATTCTGCCCCTTTGTGCTCCATAAATATCCCCAGATCCAGGTCCAGAGCCGGACTTGTCACATCCCTAAAAATATCCCCCTATAAATAGCAAATTATCCAACAATGGCACCAGGGCAACCACCCCAAAACATCCAGGGCAGAGCTTCAGACGTGAACTTTTCCCTGGCAGCTCCTCCAGGGGATGAGCAGATCCTTCTTTCCCTGTGCCCTTTTCCAGATGGGTTTTTTGGGTTTTTTTTTTTTTGGGAAAGCTGCTTCAGCCAGCACTCATTTGCTGTTGGAAGCTCATTGGGAAGTCTGTGCTGGCAACGGGCTCTGGAATATTTTTTTGAAGTCCTAAAAAGGGAAGAATTGGAGGAGAGGGAAGCAAAAAGGGTCTGCAGGATTCACACCCCCAGGGATCTGAGCTCAGGAAATTGAGCACAGGACCTAAGTGACCACACTTGGCATTTTAAAATCTTTCCATAAGCAAATCCTGCCCCTGGAAGGCTCAGGAATTTTGGGATTTCTGAGTAGGGCACCCCACTTCACACACCTGTGCACAGGTGGAGCTGTGTGGGGGGAAAGGTGAAATTCCAGACCAGGGAAAATAAACCAGATTAATGCAGAAGTGGAGTTAAAATGTGGAATGCCTTGTGGATCCAAGGAAAAGGAGCTGCACATTTCCCCACCTGGGATATTCCAAGGGATTTTTCCAACCCTCTCAGGCATTCCTGCCCAGGAATTGCTTTTCCTCTGAGAAAAAGAGGGGAAAAAATTTAAAATAAACCCTGCAGAGAGCAGCATTCCAGCAGCAGGAGCTCATTCCTCACAGGAAACCATTCCTCAGGAAATGTTTGGGGATTCTGCTCAGCAGAATCTCCTCAAACCCCTCCAGAGTTTCAGGGATCCTCAGGACAAGGGGCCATGGAAACAACAGGGCTCATTTCAGAGCTATTTTTAAAAGAGTTTTTGCTTCTGGGATGCCAATTTCCAGGAGTTGTTTGGAAAATGAGATTTTAAAAATGTCCCCACGCTCACGGAACAAACTGTGCTGGAGCAGCAGCTCCCCCTGCTCGGGGTACTCCAGGGATGGCTTTGACTTTCCAGCTTCCTTTCATCCAAAAAAAAAAAAAAAAATTAAAAATCACCTTTTCCGCCTTTTTGAGGGCAAAACAGCAACAACAAAAAATTAAATTTGTATTTAAATCCTCCAGTTTTAGCAAATGCCTGCAGCTGTTCCAACCAGATCAAACCAGGGACAATCCCCTTCCCTGCTCCTGAGGTTTAATGGAATTATTGAATTATTTCAGCCCAAAGCCTCTGCCAGGATCCAAAGGGGCTCTCTTCTGTCACTGACAACATCCCAAAAACAGCAGGAATTTAAAAATCCACACCAACAGCATCCCAAAAACGACAGGGATTTTAAAATCCACACCAACAACATGCCAAAAACGACAGGAATTTAAAAATCCACACCAACAGCATCCCAAAAATGACAGGGATTTTAAAATCCACACCAACAGCATCCCAAAAATGACAGGGATTTTAAAATCCACACCAACAGCATCCCAAAAATGACAGGGATTTTAAAATCCACACCAACAGCATCCTAAAAATGACAGGGATTTTAAAATCCACACCAACAACATGCCAAAAACAGCAGGGATTTTGAAATGCACACCAACAACTGCGTGGAAGGGGAAGAGGAGGTGAAAGAGGATCCAGCTGAGGGGAATTCCTGGCACTGGAAATACCAGATGGGATGCTGAGGTTTGGGATTCCTGGAGGGCTGCTGGAAAAGCCAGCAGGAATTTGCTTTGCAGTGTTCTCAGAGCAGCTCAAGGCTGCAGAGTTGTTCCATAGGTTGTTCCAACAATTTGGGAATTTCTCCAGTAAAATATTAAGTATCAAGTTGTTTAAAATCCCTAAAAACACCCCACAAAAAGAATCCTGATAAACCAACTGAAGCAAACACTCCCCAGGGAGGGAATATTCCCATTTTTCCTCCCAGCTGGGAAAAGTTCACCACAGAAAACAGGGAAAGGAGGAAAATATCCAGAGGAAGGATTTGGATGCAAGGTTTGGGTTTAAACGTGGCTGTTTCACCTCAGAGCAACTTCTGAGGTTGTTTCAATGTGGTTTGTGTTACACAAGTGCCCTCAATCTTCCAGGATCAGCAATTTTATACAGGCAATTAGTGAAAAAATTAAATGTCTTAATGATCCTTGGGAAATGGGATCCACCTGCGATTCCTCAGCCAGGGCAGCTCCATTTCTGCAGGATAAAAGTCCCAAAAAAAGGGGATTTGTGTCACTTCAGGAATGGGGGGAGAACTGAGAGCATGAAAAGCTGCTCCTAAAAATCAGAAAGGTGTGTGAGAGTCCTGACTGGCATCACAAAGAGATTAAAAAAGGGGGAAAAAAATCAGGAGCACGGGGTCATTGAGGCTGGAAAAGATCTCTGGGATCACCAGGCAGTGCCTGACCCCCACCTTGTCCCCACCTCCAGGGATGGGGACCCCAAACCTCCCTGGGCAGCTCTTCCCAAGGTTTAACAACCCTTTCCAGGAGGAAATTCCTGCTGCTGTCCTACCTGGAGCTCCCTGGGGCTGTCCCCTCCTGTCCTGGTGTCCCCTGGGAGCAGAGCCCCTCCTGTCCCCTTCTCTTGGGGACTTGGGGACATTGGGAATGTCCCTCTGATCCTGCTTTTCTCCAGGCTGGGCCCCTTCCCAGCCCTCTCAGGAATTCTCCAGCCCCTTCCCAGCTCCTTCAGGAATTCCCAACTCTCTCTAGAGTTCTCCAATCCCCTTCTCATCTCCCTCAGGAATTCTCCAGCCCTTTTCCACCTCTCAGGAATTCTCCAGCCCCTTCCCAGCTCCTTCAGGAATTCCCAACTCTCTCTAGAGTTCTCCAATCCCTTTTCCATCTCCCTCAGGAATTCTCCAGCCCCCTCCCTGGCCTGGCTCCAGCCCCTGGGTGTCTCTCTGGATGCTCAGCTCACTCCCAGGACTAAATCCCCTCCTTGGAGCAGCACCACAGCTTCAATTCTGCCCCTTTGTGCTCCATAAATATCCCCAGATCCAGGTCCAGAGCCGGACTTGTCACATCCCTAAAAATATCCCCCTATAAATAGCAAATTATCCAACAATGACACCAGGGCAACCACCCCAAAACATCCAGGGCAGAGCTTCAAATCCTCCTCTCAGGTCCCTCCTGAGCACCTGGGGCTGGAGAAATGAAGAAATAAAATCCCCACTTACTTCCACACAAATTTGTGAACAAAGATTTGCTCTGAGCCGCAGCACGAACATTTCCCACAAGAAATTACAACGAGAACAACCTCCCTGAGTTTTCCTCTTTTTGTTTTTTCCATGTTTTCCTCCTGGTTTGGATGAAACCTGTGACTCCCAGCGAGGCTCCCAGGGACCCCACATCTGTCCCTTCCTGGAGGACACCCCAAGTGCACAAACCAGGGCAAAGTGGGACAGGGAAGAGACATTTTTGGGATTTTTTTTTAGCAAAGTGAGGCAAGAGGAAGCGCTGCCAGGGATGGAGGGAAAGGACCAGCGGTCACATGAGGATGTCCAGCCCCCAAAGCAGCTGCTAATGAGTGTCTCAGTTAATTACTCGGCTCCCTGGGATGAGGAGCTCGGGGCTGGCAGCTCATCCACGGCTCCACTGCCAGGGACACAGTGCCCTCTCTTGGAGACTCCAAATCCAGCCTAAAGCCGGGACTGAGGACAAAAACCTGCTGGAATTTCCTAAAAAAATGATTTCTGCGCAAGAAACAACTCTGGCCTGGCTGGGTATTCCTGGGAGGAACAGGGGAACACCTCTGGAGCTGCTCCTGGGGCAGGTCAGTGACTCGTGACCTTGATTAACCTTTGGATCCTCTTATGAAAACTCAGATCTTTTTGAAAATTAAGAATTTTAAGATGGAGAATATTGAAACACCTAAAGAGTGGTGATATTGTGGTGTCACAGAGGGGTTTGGGATGGAGGGGAGCTGAAGGATCAGCCAGTTCCAGGAGAAAGAATGGAATTGTTTCATGAAGAACCATTCCAGCCAGAGGCAGCAGCTCCACATCAGATTTCTGTGTGTCCCCAGGTCACCACCTCTCAGTGGAGGGACAGTCCCCAGTGCCACCTGGCACAGGTGACCATGGACAGCGTGGCTGCCCCATGGCAAGGCCAGGCTGGACAGGGCTTGGAGCACCCTGGGATGGTGGAAGGGAAGGGACTGGATGGGCTTTAGGATCCTTCCCACCCAAATTTCGGGTGAGAAATGCCCTGATTTGGGGCTCAGGAGGTGTTTGGGTGTCTGTGGGTGCTGCTGGCACCTACCTGGGCAGGTGTCCCCACCTCCTGTGGCACACAGGGCACTCGCTGCAGGGGGGAAAGGACAAATCTCCTAAAATTTAAAAAAAAAAAAAAAAACAATTGAGAGAATTTTCAGCAATTGAAAGGATCCTGCAGGGAATTCCAGCTCCTCTCAACACCAGGTTTGAGCCCACCAGCTGAAGCACCTCACACCTTTTCCCCATCTCCATTTTTTCCCTGTGTTTTCCCTGTGTTTTCCCTGTTTTTTTCCCTGCTGGAATCCCAGCCCATCCCTGAACTATTTAAAGCACCCCACACCTTTTCCCCATCTCTATTTTTTCCCTGCATTTTCCCTGTTTTTTCCCTGCTGGAATCCCAGCCCATCCCTGAACTATTTAAAGCACCTCACACCTTTTCCCATCTCCATTTTTCCCTGTGTTTTCCATGTTTTCTCCCTGCTGGAATCCAGCCCACTCCAAATCGATTTAAATCCACCCAGCCACACGAGGAGTGTGTCCTTTGGGGTGGTTTATTTACATTTCAATATGTTCAGGATCTGCCTTTGAGATTTTTTTGGAGGGGGGATGAAATCCTAAAAGTCCTCACAGGAGAGGTTTAGTGAGGATGATGCAGGTGGCACTTGAGGCTTTCTCCATGCTCATCCATGGAATCTGGGATAAAAAACCCCAATTTCTACCAACTCAGACCTGGCTTTGAACACATGGATTCCAAGAGATTTTTTTTTGTGAGGGGGAAAGCCTGGCAGCTCCCAGGCTGTGCAATTCCATATCCCAGTCTGAAGATGGCTCCATCGGAATGAGGGATTCGATCCCTCCATCCATCATCCATCCATGTCCATTCATCCATCCATCATCCATCCATCCATGTCCATTCATCCATCCATCATCCATCCATCCATGTCCATTCATCCATCCATCTCCATTCATCCATCCATCCATCCATCCATACATCCATGTCCATTCATCCATGGATTCATCCATCCCTCATCCATCCATCCCTCATCCATCCATGGATTCATCCATCCATCCATCCATCCATCATCCATTATCCCTGTGTCCATCCATCCATCATCCATCCATCATCCCTCCATCCCTGTGTCCATCCATCCATCATCCATCCATCCCTGTGTCTGTCCATCCATCCATCATCCATCCATCCATCCATCATCCTTTATCCCTGTGTCCATCCATCATCCATCCATCCATCCATCCCTGTGTCTGTCCATCCATCCATCATCCATCCATCCCTGTGTCTGTCCATCCATCCATCATCCATCCATCATCCATCCATCCCTGTGTCTGTCCATCCATCCATCATCCATCCATCATCCATCCATCCCTGTGTCTGTCCATCCCTCCATCATCCATCCATCCCCCACCTCCCCAAACGTCAGGACTGGAGAAACAACTCCCAGTTCCCTCCAGCAGCCACAGGGGATTTGTCCCAGGAGAAGGAAGCAGCCCATCCATGATATTCCTGAGGCTGGCAGAGGGGAGTTTCAACAAAAGAAACCAGGGAAAAATAACCTGAGCGACTCATGGAAGTGAAAGACAAGGAGAGTGACAAAGATTTAAGGAAAGAAAGGGAAGAGGAAGGCAGAGCTGCAGCATTTCATCTTCTGTTCCTCCCCACAACGAGCCAATTAAAAAGCCCACACACTAAATTAATTCCAGTTCCAGGGGAGCTGGAAATACAGAGCCACTATTTAGGTTAGGGAAAATTGCTGCATTCTGTTCCTTTGTCAGGTGGCAGAGAATGACATCTGCAAAAGGGAAAAAAAAAAAAAAAGGCAGAGTTTGGGCCCCAGCACAGCAGAAGCAAAGGAAACAGAGAATTCAGGGAAGGGTTTGAGGATCTGAGGAGCCTCATCCCCACGGACACGGGGCCAGGGCACAGAACAAAGATCCCCATGTTCTCCCCACACCCCGGCTGCCTCACAGCTCTCACACCTCATCAGTTCCTGCTTTTGTTTGGAACAAGTGGCCAGGACGTGGTTACAGAGCTCTGCTTCCCTAAAACCCTTCCCAATGTTTAATTTATCCCTCGGAAAACACCTCTGACAAAACCCAGCCCCACCAACGTCGTCGGCTCCAGGGTAAATATCCCAGCCAGGTTTGTGTTCCCTTCCTGCCCCAGATGGGACTCTGGGATTTAATTCCTCAGCAGAGAATCCCTCTGTTCTGGGCAGAGAAACCCCCGATTCACACTGGAATTTAAAGGGAATAAACCCCACAGGGAGCAGAGAATACAAATTATTATCCCAGCTTTTTTTCCAAGGATGACAAAAACCAACCAGGGGAGCAGGGCTGGAGCTGCAGGAGGCCTCAGGGCAGTGCCAGGCTCAGCTTTCCAGAGGGAACCGCTCCCTGTGTAATCATTAACAGCAAAACCCAGCCCAGATAAAAGCCAGGGAGCAGCACCTGGAGCAGGGATGCACTGGGAGCCAGGGATGTCCCAGGCACCAGGAAGCTCAGGATGTTTGCCTGTTGCTGCTGTGGCTCTGCCCTGGGGACAGCAGGGAACAGCAGTGATGGCAAGTGGGGAAACTCATCCTTTGTCTGGGAATTGGGAAAACTCATCCATTTGTCTGGGAATTGGGAAAACTCATCCCAGGCCCTGGAGCCAGCTGGCAGCAGGAGCTCTGTGCCAGGGATGCCTCTGGAGAGCCCCACGGTGCCACCAGGACCCGCTGGGGACAAGGACAAAACCCCCAGGACGTGGCACAGGGAGGGGCAGAGCTGGCCCCACACACACAGAAATAATTGAGAAAACCAGTTGGGATTACAGGAAAGCCAGTGGGAGTTCAGTGGAGCCTTTTCCTGCCTGGTCTGAGCTCCCAAACCTCGGGATTTACACCAAAACCCCTCAGGGCTGCCCTGACAGGATCATGGATGTGAGACTTGGAGAAAAATCCTGTTTAGGGTCACAGAACCTCAGGATGGTTTGGGACCTCAAATCCCATCCCACCCCAAGGGCAGGGACACCTCCCACTATCCCAGGTTGTTCCAGCCTGGCTTTGGACCTCCCAGGGATCCAGGGGCAGCCACAGCTGCTCTGGGAATTCCATCCCATTCTCTAAGCACCCTCACAGGGAGGAATTCCTTCCTAAAATCCCTCCAGGAGCTGGCAAAGCTGGAAAATCCCTGTCCCTCAGGATGGACCAGCTCAGGAGCTTGGAGGGAAGCTCCTTCCAGCCCTGGAACACCGAGTGTGGGTCCCATCCCACAGAGCAGGAATTATCTCAGGATCCCGGCAGGAACGGGATTCCAGCTCTCCTTGTGTCATCCTCACTCCCAGCTCCACCAACAAACCTTCAAAGAGCAAAAAGCCTTTGAATTCCACAAAATCCTGCTAACGAGATCCCTGTCAGCCAGGAAGGCAAACTGGGAGTATTTATAGCCCTGGATTAGAGCAGGATCTGCTGGGAATCCAGGGAATGGAGCAAATTCCCATTCCCAGAGAGGTGACAGATTTATGGGCTCTCACTTCCCAATCCAGTTTTGGTTTGTTTTTTTTTTTTCCCAGCACATTTATACAGAGTTTCTGCAGCTTTATCCAGCTCTGCTCCTGGAATTCTTTCTCATTCCCACTCCCTTTGGGCTGATGGGAAGGCACACAGGCATTAGGGACAGCTATTCATTAAATCCTGGAACCTCTCCTCGACTTCCTACTGCAACCATCAGCTCCACAACAATTTAAACCAGGATCATGGTGTTATCCTGGAAGGAATGGATGAGGAGCACTGCCAGCCCTCAGCATCCCTGATCTTATTTTGACAAAAATGGGTTTTTCCTTGGATAATCCCACGGAAATTTAAGATCCAGGAAAATGCAGAAATAACAAATTTTACAAGTCCTGGAATTTACAACCACCCAGAGCAGAGAGGAGAAAATATTCCTGCTTGGATAAAACCTAGAAGAACATTCAGGAAAATATGGATGTGGACAAAAAGCTTTTCCAATCTGTTCTAGAATGAAATGGAAGGTGGCCAGGCCCACCCCTCTTCCCACCCAGCCATTCTGTTTTATTTTAATCAGCAGCCCCAAACCCCATCCATGGGCACCAGCACTTGGATCAGCTCGACACAATCAGTCCCAGCAGGAATCCAAACCCATAATTACAGCAGCCTGCACATGGAAAACACCAGGGAGGGAGGGTTTATTTATGCAGGGGACAGGAGTTTCGAGGATGAGACGAATAAATCAGGGAAAAATGGTTAAAAAAATGGATTGGGGGAGTTTGGGGAAGAAAAGCAGCTGCAGCAGAGGCTCTGTGGCTTCTGAAATTGCAGGGAAAATGGAGAGTTTGTAGCTGGAATGCCTCGGGAGCGCTGGAGTTCGGGGAAGCAGCGCAGCCCCCCTGCCTTGGCTGTGAATCCATTTCCTACCCAGCTTTGTTCAGCCTCCCATAAAAACTTCCTGCCCCTCCACCGACCTTCCCTGAGTGCTTTTCCCGACCCTGGAGCCATTCCCACCTTCCCCATGCTGGCAAAACCTCCCTCTGAGAATCCCTCTGGAATCACAGCGAGCTTTTTCCTGAATTTACCTCCAAACCACCAAATTTTAGCCAAACCACCTCTCCCAAAAGCACCTTGGGACTCTCCCAAGTTTTCCAAACCACTGGAAAACGTGGATCTGATTGATTTTTTTTTCTTTTCCTCACCAGGGATGCACACAATGCATCTCCTCTGGTGGCTGACAACCCCTCTTCTATTTCAGGAATGCTCATCCGCAGGTGGAATTGGATTTCTGTTCCCATGACTGACAACACAACTCCATCCTGGCCTATGGCAGCTGCTGCTATTTTCAGCAGCTCTGCCTCTCTCCAGTATTATTCCAAAGGTGAGAACTATTTCCAGAGAACACCAGAACAGCGTTTTTCACACCTTAACAGAAAAAAAAAAATTGAAAAAAAAAATCACAGAATTTTGAAAGTTTTGCCACAGGGCAAAACTCTCTGCAGTAAAGAGCATTAATGAGCTCGTGGAGTGGCTGGGAGTGTTAAAATGGAATTAAAGTCCCTGTTGGAATGGGGAAAATAGTCTTAAGCTGGGTTGCCACAAAGATATTC